CGGGCCCAGGTCCAGGCCCAGGCCCTGGAACTGGCTGCTGGTTGCCTGGGATCAGAGGTGGAACGCTGGTCTGGCGATGCAGAATTTTCTAAGGACAGAAGAGAGAGAAAGAAGCAGTGAGTACCCCACTGATGCACAGACAAGGTTCCTTGGGTGAATTTGATATCTTTTATTAGACCAACTCAAATGGCTGCACTGATGCACAGCAACTCCTGGAATCCACACGTGCCCCACCTCACCAGATTAGTGTACCCATCACTCCCAAATGGAGGAAGAGAATTATACATACCAGAGCGATCTCTGGATCAACAATTCTCATCACCACCTGGGCTTGCAGCAGGGCATAAGCCAGCTGAGGGTTCTGGAGCAGCATATTCCGGGCTTCCTGAGGGCTGTTCTGGACACACAACTGAGGACAAACACACCAGTCAGAGCTACACAGGGGCCCTGCCACTACCACTAACTGCTGCTGCAACTTCAAAGGGGAATCAACAACTTAGGAAACACTGGAATAGCAGCATGGCAAAGGGTGAGGTATACAAATACTTGGGTAACTTCAGACTTTGCAGTTTGGATCTTCTGAGTGAAATACAAGCTCTACCACCTCACCTCCTCGAGCCGCAGGGCTAGGGTAAGGGGCTGGGCCCTGTACTGAGGCTAGAATCTCTCCTGGGGCTGGCACACCATCCTGCATAGAAGACTGAAGACTGCTAAGCAGTTAAGTACAACCATCTCAATAGAGCCTCAGGTGAGCTGTGTAAATCATGGATTTTTGGTTTTGTGGCTGCTGAAAAAATTTCATTTGGGGTAAATCTGGAACTAGAGGTGTCCATATCATATTGGCACCAATAAAAGGAAAATTGATATTATTGGCAATTGGCTTTTCTTGGCTGATGTGGCCAATAATGTTGCTGATAAAAGCTGCATCCAGGCAGTAAGTCGGGGGGGGGGCGCAGATCGAGGCCCCCTGCAGTGAGGGAGGGAGTGGGGCTGGGGCAGAGCCGGTGGCTCATCTGCGGGGTGGGGGGCTGGGTACAGCTCCTGCTGCTGCATGCACCCCCAGGGGAGGCATGTGAGCACATGCCCCCTGGATCTGTGCGTGGGGCAAAGGTGGGCTGCTGTTGCATGCTTGGGGGCTGCACTAGGCTTTTCCCAGCAGCTGTGGTCGGGCCAGGCCAGGAGGCGGCAGTGCTGGGAGGGGGACAACGAGGGGGCTACAGCAGGGGCTGTAGCTGTCCTGTGGTTCCCCTCCCAGTGCTGCCACTGCCTGCCCTGTCCAACCCAGCCTGGCCTGGCCCAAGTGCAGCTGCCAGGAAGAGCCCGGTGCAGGCCGCAGCCCACCCTTGCCCTGCACGCAGATCCAGGGGGCACGTGTCCCCCAGGCCTCCCCTGAGGGAAGCACAGCGGCAGGAGCTGCACCCCCACCTTTCCCATGCCCCCCAGATGAGCCACCGGCTCCATTCCACGTCCTGTCCCGGCTGGGCAGTACCTATCCCTGCCCCACTCCCTCCCTCACTGCAGGGGCCTCCATCTGCCCCCCCACCCCCCTCCCAACAGACTCACCGTCCAGACACTGCTCTCCAAGCTGCCAGGCCGCATATATGCAATTGGATCGGTATCCACCGATTTGGCTGGTCAATAACTGGCCATCGGTATCAGCCCAAAAAATATTTATTGGTAACCTCCCCATCTAGAACCATTCACAACAGAGCTCCTGTTATTTTCCTCCCATTCAGCTTCAGTAGTTCATCTGCTCAGGGACAAAAGTTTACTTGAAACAGACTCAAATAGGGAGGTGAAACTGCTGCTTTGGACCACTCAGCATCTGTGATGCTTGTCATCATCCTTAACAGTAAGTTCAGCGCTTAAAACAGCTCTCTCCCTAGCCCATACCTATGAAAAAATTGAGCAGCAGCATCCCAGCTACACAAACCCACTAGACCATTCTATCTTGTATCAACACAGTCAACAAAGAAGCCTTAACTGGGGCTGCTAAGGCACAGAGATGTGAGCAGGGAGTTGCCACTGCCTGTTTGTTCTTGTGCTGCTGGTGGGGTCACTCAGCACTCACAGTACAGTTGTGCTGTGCAGACACACATCCTACCATTGTGCTCCCACTCACCTTCATTTGCTTCATCAGCTCAAACATCTGCTCTGGTGGCAAGCTGGCAACTGCCCTGCTGATGGACTCGGGGGCATCTTCAGGATTTACTGGGTCCCCATAAGGTGACTCTATGATGGGGGCACCTGTGCCCAGGCCTGGCCAGGACAAGAAGTGGAAGATGAAGAGGAAGAATTAAATATGTGCTGGCTGATCTCTGAACATAGCTTTTGGTCTCAGCGTTGCTTCACAAGAGCCTCTTTCTCTTGCTGCTCCTTCAGTTGAAAGACCAGAGTTTGAGTAGCCCATAGGCTTCAGCAGTTTCACCCTCACAACCAAGAGGAGATACATTTCTCAGACCTTATAGCCTTATAGGAATATACATAAGCCCTGTATAGAAGCCAGAGTGCCTTGTAGAAATTCAAAGTATTTTAAGAGCTGCAGGTCACTCCAAAGCCATTCCACACAGACTGCACTACAGCCTTTGACAGCACAACACCTTGTCTGTTCTTACTTGTCAAATCAGCTCCACTGATACAGACAAAATAGTGAAAAGCTGGTTAAAGCAGAAGTTTGTCTGGGCCAGGAAATCACAGCTCAGTCCACACAATCCTCCTGCAGAATTCCACGTGCTAATGCACTCAGACCAAACCAGGAGTACAAGGCCATTTTGCTGTCAACTTCACATAAACAGACTAGTAGATTCTGGTACAATTTAAGCCAAACCTTGTGGTAACATTAACCTCATCAACTCAAAGTCCAGACTCACTCTTCAGCTCTTCCTTGTTCTTCTCACTAGCTGCATTGTCCACTCGCAATGCTCTCCCACTGAACTCACGTCCATTCAGGTTGCGCATGGCGCTGAGCGCCGTCTCCTGGTCTTGGTATTCACAGAAGCCATAACCCTTTGGCTTTCCTGTCTCTCTGTCATATACCAGCCTGGATGGCAGAGCAGAGACAATCACAACTGTTACATGCAGAACAACATGATACCAGAGAGTCTTCCAGCTTGGGTAACCCTCTTCTCACACCCTCCATTCCATCAGCCAGGACAGTGTCACTTTGCTCCTACCCATTCTGAGCTTGCGTCTGCTGGGATTTGCATCTGCCCCAGTCCTCTCCTCTCAGGTCTGGGATGCAGATGCGTATATCAGCAGTCAACTGCATCCAAGGCCCCTCACCCCCCCTTCAGTGTATTGTAGACATTAAAAAATGGAAATTATTCTCACCTAAAGCTGACAACAGGTCCAACCTCTGAGAAAATGTCCTTCAGCTGCTCCTCTGTGGCTTCATATGGGATATTCCCCACTGTGGGAGAGAGGAGCAAATTATCAGTGCAGATGACGTGCTATGCAAAGCCATAGGCTGAATATTTTACCACAGGAAGAAGGGAAAGAATAAAAATGAGCCTGGGATAGCAAAGGCCAGATGTACTGACAACACACTATGCAGTTTGCCCCACATTACAGATAGTTTCCTATGTCCTGCTACTGCTGGTATCCACCTCCTCCTCCCAATACAGAATGTGCTCTGGATCATACTAGAGGCCTCTGATTCCATGTCTGGTGCCAGCCAGGCACCAGAAAGAAACTGTCAAAGCAAGTAGCTGCAATAAGGTCAATAGTTCTTAGACAGTCCTAGAACCATGGCTCCAGGCCTATACATTAGGTACCAAGCACGGCTGTCCCCGACTTCTGAATACTGCTTCTCTGAGGCTGTGCTGTTTGGTCTCACTGCTACCGTGGCAGCCGAGGCACTTACAGCAGTCAAGAGAATGGTTCTAGGACCCTGCTTCCTCCTGACTCTTGGCACAAGAGGACCATGCTGCTATCAGCAGAGGCCAAAGGCAGCTCCACCACAGGAATCACAGGGAAAACTGTACATGTTCCTTTATCAGGGTAGCGCCAGTGCTCTGGTAACCATTTTCAGCGCTGCTAGTTTCCTATTTGCTCTAGTGAAAAGCCTGGGGCTCGTTTCCTGCTGCTGCTGCGAGCTGCAGGGTTTGGTGACTGCTTGGCTCCATGTCCGTTTGGGAAACAACGCCAGCACCCGGGAGAGGGGCCGGGGTGAAAGGGAAAGGGAAACGACTTGCGCCACACACAGGGGAAGGAACCCCGGGACCCGCGGGCCTGGGTTCGGCTCCGGCCTGGCGCAGCCCATTGGAAGATACTTGCGGGGCTCTTCAAGCCCTGACCTCGCCCGGCGCGTGTCCCTCACAGCCCAACAGCTACGGCTTCGGCAGGAGAAGAGCGCGACAGAGGCACCGCGGGCCCCGGGCCTGTACCCCGCCGGGGAACGGGGATACGCGCAGGCCCCGCCACCTCCCTGCGACCCGGCCCGGTGGCGACGGCACCTCCACAGCTAGCACTGCAGGGCAGGGGGAGGGGGCGCCTCACCAAAGACGGAGCGCAGGGAGCGGTCCACCGCAGGGTCCCGCACCGCCAGCCCCGCCATGCCCCGACCCAACAGCAACAGCCGTGTTTCCGGTCAGCTGCTAAGCACTCCCTAAACTTCCGGTTCCTTCCAGTGCCGCCCGGGAACAAAGGCAAGCACTTCCGTTCCGGCCCCACGTGAGGCAGTCGGAGCGGCTTCCTGCAGAACGGCCTGGCGCTCTGTACCGCCCACCCGCCCGCAGCAAAGATGGCGGCAGAGGGACCGCGCAGGCTCCGCTAGGAAACACTGACGCGCCGGGCCGGCGGAATGGCCGCAGCCGCCCCCG